TTTTTTTTCCAAATCAGATTCGAACAAAAGCCTAAAGAAATTTCCTTGCTATACGTCCGTGTAGTAAATTCTCACCTTTCTGTTGATGGCGCGACTTTCGTCGACGATGTTGTTATCATAGTGATCCTTTGCGTCACATATATTGGGCCTCGTTGTGGCTCCATTGTTGGACGTACTAGTCGTACTGCCGCTTTCACGACATCCTCAGCTTTTCTAACATCCACTTTTTTCGGCGACTCCTTTTTGCTGGCGACAATTGGAGATGTTTTTGTTTCCTCCTCATCAGCTTCCTCCCCGTCTTCTTCACCTTTCCCATCGTCATCAATACCAAAGAGTGTACTTGTGTCTATGTTCAGCGGGGTTACGCCTCCATTCCTAAATAAGGTACTGTATTGTAACAGATGGCTATAGATACTGTAACTAACGGATATCTCATCGAAGAGTAGCCGAAATTAGGTGGAGGCTGTTCCCAACTATCGTCGGAGAATAGTCGGCTCCTTGTAGATAATTGTGGGCTTTCGGTAGCTGCAAATTGTACTTCAAATCTCACTTCATCGCTATTTTTTCAAAAATTACATGTACTCATTTCAAAATAAACATTGTCAAGGCTAACCTTTAGTTTTACTTCCATAATCATTACCCATCGTCTGTATTGGCACAACTTCAACTGAGACATTTTCTGGCTTCTCATCATCATAAATATCCTCTTTTCCATCCTCATACACATCATAGTCCGCACCTTTTTCAGTTATAGACGTTGTTGTGACAGGCTCAGCAGTGGAAGTTGTCGTTTGTGCAGATTTGACCCTACTGCTTTCCGTATACGGTCTTATTACAACGGAATGTGTATATGTCGATGTAGAAGCAGAGCTTGTTCGGGTAATTTTTGGAGAAGGAGATGCTGTAGATGTGGTTGAAGGTGCTGTCAACGAAGGTGAAGCCCAAACTTCCTTCTTAGGTGGCGATTTCACAATTGAGGGTGCTGATGGTTCTGTCGCTTCATCGAGAAGTTCGTTCAGAAGCGTTGTGAATTCCTAAAAATTGATTTTCACAAAAAAAAGTAATAGAGGGAATTAAGTCCTTACCACAACAACAGTAAAAAGGCTGGAATTCTTACCGTTCTATCTGTAGAAGTGGTCACAGTGGTTTTAGGCCTTCTAGCTTCCTCATTTGTTTCAAAGTTGTTTATAACCGTTGTTAACTCCTATAAAGTATTCTTACCGATTACACCATTGGCGACTGTAAAAGTGGAAAATCTACCTCATCAATTTGTATCTCAGTTTTTTTGATATTTTTCTTGACAAAATCGAACATTTGGCATGCATCCAAGTCGAGATCGTCAAATAGCGTATCATTTGAGGGAAGAGTGAAGCTAAGGAAGTAATCTCTGAAATTAGTCGCTTAGAGCAGGAAATGTCGAATACAAGCATTATTTGCTTACCTAAAATTGAGTCTTCTGAAGATTTTCTTTGCACTAGCACAGTACATTGTCACTGTGTTCTCCAGACATAATGTATTCAAGTGAAGATATCTACAATCAGAGAGTGCAGATATCCCGTAAACAGGTTATTATGCAACAATCTCATCATAGAAAAGTATGAAGAATTAATCAGAGTCTAAATCAACTTTTGGAAAGTATCTTCCACATAACCGGTTTCGGGGCTAAGAACTAGACCGGAGATGTGACTTCCTTGGTGCCCCCG